TCGGCTCGCAGAAGGTCTGCACACGCACGTCTGATCTCTTTGCACGCCCGCTGGCACCCCCTCCCCACCGGCTCTCTCACGCCGAGAGGACGGTCACGTGCGCCTCGACGTCGACGCCCGCCTCCGCCAGCATCGCGCGCGCGGCGGTGTTGAACCCGCCCGGGCCCGACACGACCACGCGGCACGGCTGGGCCATCTGCGCCCACGCCTCCGCCACCAGCGGCGCGCTCAGCCGCGCGCGCACCACGCGCGCATTCGGGAGGCCCTGCAGCAAGCCCTCCGCCTCGGCGGCGTCCCCCGCAGGCGCGGTAGGGAAGGGCGCGGCCGCGGCGCCGCCGGCCGCCGCCGGCGTCAGCAGCAGCGTGCAGCTGCGGATGCCGCGGACGACGGCGTTGACGGCGACGCGCTCATTGCCCGCGCCGCCCTCCTCGCTCTCGCGGCACCAGCCGGCGAGCTGCGGCAGCAGGAGCGCGTCGTCCTCGCGGCACGAGAGGACCACGTCGACGGGCACGTGCAGCTGGTCGCGCCGTGGCGACGAGATCCCTAGAGATCGTCCGAGATCGTCCGAGATCGTCCGAGATCGTCCGAGATCGGCCGAGAGCCGTCTCGAGATGAGGGGAGATATGGGGCGTCTCTCTCCGCAACATCTAGGGGAGAGATGCCAAGCTGCGCCGTCGGAGCGCGGTGCGCGAGGATCTGCGGCAGCGCAACCGCGCCCGTGCCCGCGAGCAGCAGCAGCACGCTCGACGGCCGGAACGCGCGCCCCTCCGACACGAGCCCTGGGACTCGCAGCGTCCTCTCGGGCCGCGAGAGCCTAATCTCGCCAGACCTCGCGTGATCTCGGGCCGATCTCGGGGGTGCGGCGCGTCCTCTCAGGCCGCGAGAGCCAGACGCGCTGCGGCGACGCGGAGTGCAGCCACGAGGTGGCCGCCCCGTCCGCATAAACCTTGATGAGCATCTCGCAACGGCCCTGCTCCCACTCTTTCGCGCTGCTGACGGGCGTGTAGTCCCGCTCCACCCACGGCAGAGGCCCCTCCGCGTTCGGCCCAACCTCGGCGAGCAGCGTGGTGTGCCATGTGACCGGCTCGGCCATGCGTCCGCGGCCGCGCGGGTGGGGTGTGCCTCGCTTGAGGTCGGAGGAGGAGAAGGCGAAGAGCGCGGAGTGCCTCGTCACGGGCGTCACGCTCTCTAGCGACCATTGCGAGTAGTTTGCGATGGCCGACGGCATCGCCTGGCCCGCCCTGTCCGCACGCACGCCCTCCGGGAAGCCAGCCTTGCGGAGCAGCGTGGAGAGCTCAGAGCGGAGGGCCGGCTTGACAGCCGCCTGCTCGGCGAGACCGTGGAGCGCAGTGTTCCACTTTGAGACCGAGATGGCGTGCTGCCTCGCCCGTGCCGCACGCAGGCTCGCGAGCCGCTCCGAGGTGCCGGCGCCCTCGAGAGGAGGCCGCTTGCCGGTCGCTCGCTCGACGACCTTGGCGCTGCCGTCGAGGGTGCGAATGCGCGTGAAGACGTTGTTCGGGTCGAGGCGCCGCGCGCCGCGCTCCAGGATGATGGCGTTCGGCGCCTCGTTGCAATAGCCGAGGCATCCCGACTGCCGGACTTTGCAGCGTCCGCCGACCTCGCTGACAAGCTCCTCGATCTCTGCGAGCACCGCCTCGGCGCCGCGTGCCCGGCACGTACCAGCGTGGCACACGTGGATCTCCGCCATGGAAGGCGAGGGAGCAGCGACAGCGACCGAACGGCGACGAACTGCGTCTGAACTCGGCCGCCGACGTCCTGCCCAGCAAAAAGAATTCGCAACCGGGTCCGTCTCTACATACATACATACCACGACTGGCGCGCACTACTGGCACTAACACAGTACACCAAAAGAACTGCCCCGCTCCTCCGCGCGGCGCGATCAAACCTCACCAGAGACCGACTCGCGGCTTCGTGGCGTCGCCTTAAGTGGCAACGAGCGCATCCGCGTCGTCGCTAGACGGGGTAAGTCCGCGGTGCCTCCTTCTTCGTGTCCGATTCGACGT